GTTTCACGGCTCATCGTGTTCACAGGATGCTGTCAGATAACATACCACGCCACGGAAGTGGCTCGAATTGTCGAGACATGAAAGTGCGTCGCAAGAGGGCGCTATTTAAATAGAGCATGACCAGCATGACCGTCTTTGTTAAGTATCCAAATAAATACTCAATTTTATGTCATCTCACGGATTGTTGAAAAAGTTTCATTGTTTAATAATTCCTTGGCCACGTTTTGCTCCTTTCCCTCTTCCTTTCTTTGCTGTATTATTGTAATTAATTGATTTCCTTTCTTCTAATGTAGGCCAATGGATATAATAAAGTATATATGTATATTCATACGCATGTGAATATTTTGCTGTTAATTTAATTTCTTTTCAATTCAATTCAATTAGTATACATGTTTTGACCTGATACAATTCAGCCTTGTGTATGTACATATTAATTTATTAGCTTAATTTGTAATTACGGGTTCCAGGTTTTGTACAAGCATATGCTTTTTACCTGGATCCCTCGTATCATTTCTGTCATTCTTTATATAGATTCTTGTCAATTATGTTTTTGTGATATGATATAAAAAAATAAACCATAAACCATAGTGACTCATTCATTGTACACACACAATGAACAGTACACAGTCAAGGATTTTACGAAGATCATTCTACCTCCATGCAACGACCAACGACTATAAGCACTTCTTTATGCTCATTACAAAATGTAGTTTAATTGAATTTTTTTCAATGAGACTGCTCTTCGAAAGGCGCCTGACGGGGTCGTACAACACAAACAATACGTTATTCTTGATATAAATAATAGAGACTTTATGCAATTTGTTGCGTGATTATCTAACGTAAAAAGCGAAAAAGAAAAAAAAATCAATCACGCACAAGCTTTATAATGTTCGTTGAACTACAGTTTTCCTCCTTGCTACACGTTAGCAGGGCCTGGAATCCATAAGTTCAACCATGGAGGATTAAGAACGTTCTTATTTCTCCATGGTTCAACAGAGAACGCAAAACAAACAACGAACAAACAACCCAACAAACAAGACAAAAACAAAACAATGAACCTTAATGACACACAAGCTGATTTTAGCCAAAATACACGAATCTTAACTTCCGCAAAAGCAATTCTTCAAAATCAGAACGATCGGAAGGCTCATCATCTCAAGATGCAAAATATTTCAAATTCAATTTGGACTTGTGGCATGGTTAAAAAAAAAACACACACACACACACCAAGACTTATGCAATGATTATTATCACTTTCTCTTAAATTAGACAAGCTGACAGTATTCACCGAATAAGGTTATACAAGTTCCCTAAGATGCCACGCCCATAGCTACACAGATAACGCATGATAAGGTGGCAAACCATTGCAGCATCATGAGGAATATGGTTACGAACTTGGCTCATCCATTGCAACTCAGTGCTGAAAAAAAAAATCACGACTGAAGATGGACTGTAGATAATGCATCTATTTATGGAAAACTACCGCAGTATTATCTCGTCACATTCCTTCATCACAGATATAAATCCACAATCTATACTAGCAGCTCTTGATGATCAAAATGCAGCGGCAGCGTCTCCAAAACCCGACGGACAAAGTTCAGGCGCGATTCTATTGGCAATTACTGATTGTAACCTGCCAGTGCAGTGCTTTGCCCATAAATCGTCGCTGTTAGTTTGACATCGATGAGTCTACTGCTGTTCTTTATAATTACTGATGTAAAATTATGTACCATACACATCGAGCGAAATACCATAGGAAGACTTAATAATGAGCCTACTTGCCTACTTGTTAAACTACTAGGTATTTGTTGCAGAGCAGTAAATAGGCCCGCAATTGCCTACGCCGGTCAAATCACGATTTGCACGCCCTCATTTGTTTTGCTATTGGAGCATATTGTCGGCCATGAACTTGAGGGTTTGTAAAAAAAAAAAAAAAAAAGTGGAAGCCGTGAACAGGACTGTGAGCTCGTATTTCTGTGAAGTATGGATGAAATTGGGCCCTATAAAATGGCTCTATTTTGCAATGGAGCGCAGGCATCATTAATTAAAATGGCGATTGGGCAGGGCTACTTTTAGGGGTGATCATCGTTGGATGGAATTTTCTCCCAGACTTTATCGTTAACCCTCCAACAATTGAGCAGCAAATGAAAGATGATAAAAATAAGCTTTAATTTGATGTTTGTCTCAAACACCTTGAAGAGCTGTGGGTATTTTGGTTTGAGTTTCTGGAGTCGGCGTACTACTACTAGGCCGGTGTAATGTTAAAATTGGAGTCTCATGATGAAATACGGAGTCGCCGGTTGTAATGCGCAGGCTCAGAGGACAGAATTAAAACAGTGACAAGTCACGTGTGAAGGTTGTAGTCAAAAGAGACAGGATTTCGAGAGTCGAATTTCATAATGACAAATTTCATATGTGGTAGAACGTTCAATCAACGGTACAGTACTGTTGATTGCAGTAGTGCCACCGTTTAGTCAACGACTGTTTCATACTCATGATTTAGAAAGTCAGGTCTCGTCAGCTTGTTGACAGTTTTTGAATGTTAATTGTTGTAATAATAATTGTACGCGGGAATGGGAGTGGTTGAACTTATTATTATTAGGTTAGGCTTACGTCACTTCGGCTCGAACCCACAGCTAAGGTCACGTGCACTATACCTCATTTCTTTGAGCTCTCATTGGTTCAAATGTCATGATGTGACCTGAGGTCAACTCTTGTGCTTGCGCGCGGATAAAACTACTCACAATATTAATGCTTCACGTTTCTGCCATTTCCTTAACAAAAAAGGCGAACATGTTTTGTAAGGTTTAAAAATGCTCTAGGATAAGTCTAAAAAAAAACTGGGAGTGCACAATAAGCTCTGGCGAAAAATGAGACGCCGGTGGCACATAATGGTGGAATATCATACGTTTGGTCAATTTTCGGGACAGACAGACAAACCATCATGACCGATTGATCGGCCACCAAGTGCACCCCGCCCACCTTTTGGGGACATTTCCTCATTCAGGAAACCGTTCAACCGCTAGGGGCCGGCAGTCCACCGTGTTCGTGGAAGATGTTGCATGCAGCGCAAGAACGAGTGCACAATAATTAAACTCTGGCCGTGTTGCAGGAAGTCTTGCATAAAAGTCTTGCATGAAATCGATCAAAATGATCTCTGCCAGAGCTTAAAAGTGCGACGACGCAACACAGATGGCACATATGGAACACCATACTTTTGGTCAATTTTCGGGGACAGACAGACAGAGCGATAGACAGATAGACATACCGACCTCAGTCTCATGTAGAAGCTACTGCCAGAGCTTAAAAATCAGGAATCATTGTATTGCGATAGCAGCGTGTATAGTGATTTCGAATTGAATTTGGTCCTACATGTATACTCCTACTAAATTCTGCTTGAATATAGATGACAAGGACAGGGACTACACAGGCATTTCTTGGCGTAAAGCGCAACATGTTATGTCAATTAAAAATTCCCCAGATGGTCTTATCTTGTCGTCGTTCACACCACAGTTCCCTGCTAATCACTCAGTCATCCCTAATGCCAGCTGTGTGTGTTTAGCTTCTGCCTAGCGCCAGCGGTCACTGTCCGCAAGCATTTACCGAGTTTTCTCCATGTTTGGAGGGGAGGAGAGGCCGTCCAGCGGCCCGCCTGAATTCCTGACAACTCATTACAGGGCAGGCTGAAGTTAACGATGTCAGAACCAAATACTATGGAGTAGAATGCAGAGATTATTCGTAATTAACTATTAACTTTCCAACGATGAAACTATTATATGGTCGAATATAAGAAATGCAATATTTTGAGAAAAGAATCACTTCAGTCAAAACTCGATTAAAAACTCGATAAATGACTCTTAAATCGACGAATGCAGTGAAGTTTCACTTGAATAGTGAATTTTTAGTATTTGGGAAAAAGGGCGAAGCCCTTGATTGGGGAAGTCATCCATAAGTGGATTGAATGAAAAACTGCACATTCACCTAAGTTAAATATAATTTTGAAATGACTACCGAATTGTTTTTTGAAGCCCACAAGAACTTCACAAAAGAGAATTTGGTGTGTGTGGGTTTTTTTCTTCAGATTCGTATGAACCGCAAAACCGTAAAAAGGATTAAGAAGGACTGTTTGAAAGTCGTCAAATTTTCGATATGTACTACAGGATTGAATTTGAATTAAGTCATCTGTTTAGATTAGACGGGAATAAGACTGATGCCTGTACCGCTTGAGGAACTTTGTTGAGTGAAACTACCAAACAAATATCAAATTTCCAGACAGTCTCAAGTCGAAATTGGCAACTGGAGGTAGACATGCGCGGAACCACGAAAATAGAACACAGTGTTTCGGCCGAAAAAAAAAATCATACCCACGCCCAGGCTGGATGCAAGAAAGAAATTCGATGCTGGAAAAACAGCACCGGCACCTGTACCCTGCACAACCCTCTCCGGGTCCCCGCGTTGCCCAAGGCCGATGGCTCAGTGGCTCCTTACTTTATTATGCTCTACGGCGAGCTCGAAATCTTTTCAGAGATTCGTTTTGCAGCTTTTCAGAAAATCCCCCTTTTCAGACCGACCTCCGTATTAAACACTTCCAAAACAATAAACGATCGCCGCGATGTGACAAAATACGACAATCCTTCAGTTTACATCGAGGGCACAACTTTTGTCCGTCCGGAATGCAATTCACATAACGCGAGTTTCCTTTTTAGAAGCAACTTTTATTATTGCTCTACTCTTGGCTGGTCAGATTAAAAGTCAAACTTTTTTTTCGTGTGTACTCTTCCTTGTATCCTGCAGAATGACACACAGATTATTTACTGATTTACAGAACTTTGTAACGGCATTACATAAACTGTTACATTACAAGCAAGTCAGTTTTTAAATCATCGGAGAAAAAAATTGTTCAGAAATGAAAATAAACTCAATGGCACGGTAAATGCACATTTTTACAAACAGGGAACCATTGACATGATGTTTAGCCCAAGATGTGTTTATGTACATACCTGATTGAACTGGGCTTCGGCGGAGCCGCAGAGCCTTTGGCTGAGGGTTTCCAGCTCATGCTGAACCGTGGCAGGCAGTTATTCCTTTGAGTAATTTCACGAGGATAGTAGTAGTAGAACTTAGAGACGACCCTTGTGCAAATCCTCCGCCTCTCTCTCTAACCTCAGAACTTGAACTTTTTGGCCGGGGAAGTCTCGACAACTTCGGGGACTATATTCGCTATCGAACAGAAGCCTTGAAGGGAAGTGTTACACTCAAGCTCCTGACCAAATAAGTTGCAGAACTTTTAAAGAAAAATCCACCTAATTGCATGAAAGTAGATCCTGTGGGTAAAAACCGGTAATGGAGCTTTCTGATGTCAGGTGTTTAGCTGATGCCCCACCGTGTGTTCAACGCAAGTGTGCGGCCTACTTGTACCTAGTGTCCCGTTGAGATGAGAGCAAAGGTTGGATCCCAGCTCCTACTAGTGACAGCATGACAAGTGCTGTTGTTGCCCACGTAGTACTAGCCCAATCAGTGACTTCCAAGGATCTCCCCACTGCCTCCCCTGTTATCCAATAGAATCCTTTCTCCACCCAGGGATTGGATCGACTGTAGACGTTTATGGTATGGGTACCGTGGCTTGAAGGATTCAGCCCAGCGGCTATTTTTTTTCTGCAGTACTGTACAAGTGTATCTCGGATTTTAAGACCTTGCTTATCTTTCAACATTCTTCTTACTTTCTTTCTAAGAGGGATGAGTTAAACGCACTGTAAGACCAAGAGAGAAAGTAGGGTCGTTAAATATCCTACCCTATATTCGGAAGCTAATGGATTTAAAGGGAGTATACAACATTTGCAAACATCAAAAAAACAAAACTACCATATTATTACGAAATACCTTACTGCACTGTTAGTGAATGACAGTCTATAGCATCCAGTAAAATCATGGCACCTGTGCTGACATGTTTAAGAAAAGTGGTATTTTTGTATCAATTTCCAACGCTGGTCGGCCGACCAGCGTTGGAAAAAAACTGCCCCCAATTTACCATATTTAGTTAGTCCACATTTTGTTTGCAATTGATTCCACTTCTATGAACGGATACAAAATATTACAAGCCAGCTAGACTGGTTCCCTGACCTTACGTCTATCAAATTGTTCCGTTTCATCTTAAGTGGGGTCAGGCAACCAGACAGGAACATGATTGTTTTTCTTGGTTTTTTTTCCCAGCATCTACAAACACAAAACTTCAAACAAAGTCAGTGTAACAATATTTGCTATAAACCCTCCAAATCCATCCATTTCTGAAAATTACATCAAAAGCAAATGTTGTATATTCCTTTTAAGAGGCTCACAAAATAATCACGTGATGTGCAAGCTGTCCACGCATGCATCAGGAAAAAAATTAGCATTTAACCCATGCGGCATTATTTATGCACATAATTATCCGAAGTATGCAAATTAGCAAAGTAGCATAGCCAATGCGTGGACCGGTTGAACTAATTGTTATCCACTACGAAGTACGCATGAGCATCAGAATAATTATGGCGTGTCAAACGTTGCAATATTCAATATTTTGCAATATATGTGCGATGTTTTCAATATAATGTTCGATTTTTTGCATTAAATGTGCGATGTTTTTCGATACAATTGTGTGTGTTGTTTTACAATATATTTGCGATATTCTCAAATGGGTCATTCTATAAATTTGGGGTCCAAAGTGTGACATTTTCGCCGTCCCTGTTACCTTGGTACTTTGTAATTTGCCATTCAAGCATCATTAAAAGTGACTTCAAATGATTGTTTATTTGTTGGGTAGGTAGTTTGCTATTCATAATCACTCTTGGAGGATGACTGCAGTAAGGAGTGCATCAGAATTATACAATCATAGATGTCAGATGTAACAGGGACGGGGAAAAAGTGGACCCCAAATTTACAGAATGACCCATATGTGTTAGCAATATTTTACACATATGTTTGACATTTGGAGCTATTTGTATTCGATGTTTCATCGGTATGTTTGCATTCGATCTTTTGCAATATGCATTTGATGTTTCCCTTTTCATTCGATGTTTCGTTAAGAGTCAAAGTCTGGTTACTAGACCGCAAAAGTCTGACTATTTTGCCTAAAGTCAGTGTATGAGACGTCAGGGGATCGCGTAAAGTGATTAGAGCCAGACCTAAACGGTAAAAACCGGAATTGTGGGTAATTCTTTAAGCATACGCAATGCGTTCATCATTGTTTGGGCAGTACCCCCAGCTGTGCCTGTACTACCCATAGTGTTGTGTGCATCATCTAAGCATTGAGGAGTGCATGACACATGGTCTGAGCTCCAAGGCCGATGTGCACCTGTCCCGTTTAATGATCCAGTTACCTGATAATTTGTTTGAAAAATTCCAGATGTAAAATTGGGCAAAATTAGATGTTTATGAAAAAAAAATCAAATTGTAAGGGGTTAACCTTGCATTTTTTTAAGCAAAATCGGAAAAATCAGATGTTTCTGAAAAATTGCAGATTTTATGGGGTAAGGCCTAGATGTTTATGAAACATTTCAAATTGTAAGGGGTGAACATTGCATATTTTAGCGAAATTGGGCAAAATCAGATGTTTCCGAAAAATTTCAGATGTAAGGGATTATCCTTGCTATTTTATTGAAATTTGGCAAAGTTAGATGTTTATGAAAAATTTCAAATTAAAAGGGGGTAACCTTGCATTTTTTAAGCGAAATTGGGGGGAAAATCTGATGTTTCTTGAAAATTGCAGATTGTAAGAGGTTAACCTTGCTTTTTAAATACGATTGGGAAAAATTAGATGTTCATGAAAAAATTCAAATTGTAAGGGGTTAACCTTGCATTTTTTAAAGCAAAATAGGACACAATCAGATGATTCTGGAAAATTGCAGATTGTTAGGGCTTAACCCTGTATGTCTAGCAAAATTGGGCAAAAAGAAATGTTTATGAAAAATGTTAAATTGTAAGAGGTGTACCTTGTATATTTAGTAAAATTTGGCAAAATCAGATTTGTATGAAAAATCTAAAATGGTAAGGGGTTAACCTTGCTTTTTTAGCAAAATTTTGAGCATATTTTACTAAAATTGGGCAAAATCAGATGCTTCTAAAAAATCCAGATGTAAAGTTTCCACAAAAACAGCTGTTGAAAAAGAGCCCAATGTTGAACTTTACTGAGTCTGAGGTCTATCGAGGGGACGATCCTTATTTCAACTCCCGGAGATTCGCTGACAGTCTCTATTTTTCTTTTTAAGAAAGTCGAAATAGCTGAAGAGGGAGGTGAGAATCTATATGTGCCCAGATACAAAGAGTAGAAATCTACGCGTCTGCCTTTTGAAAATACACAATTGCGGTGTTCATTGTTGCGTAATGATCCGCCTAGCACACGACTGTTTTGCACATTAGGCTGTGTTATGCAGCTTCCTAACAAACCAAACACACTGGGCTCATTATATCGACTTGTTTTTACCCATTAAGGTAAAGCAAATGGACCCAGTAATCTTCCTGGCGCGTTTGCTCACCTATAAAGACAACTTTTCTCAGTTTAAGGAAAATTCTAAGGTAACGAAATGGCCGAGTGGTTACGATTCGTCGTCCACGGTTAGCAGGGTCCCGGGTTCGAATCCCGCTGGTATCTTTTTGGTTTTTAACGAATGAGTTCAATTATTCACTATAAGAGATTTAATTTCCCGTCGTAAAGTACCAACAGTACCTTAGCTTAATCGGTAAGCACTGCTGCTGGTACTGTCCGCGAGTTCCAGGTTGGCGCCTTCGTACAGGTTCAGGGCATGTGGTCCACTCGGAGGATCAGGGCTTAGGGGCCGCCCTGTTCCTCCCTTAGCTCTTTGCTTTTACATGGTGCCTGGCCCTCCGGGGTTATATGGATGGATAGGGAAGGAAGTGTGTATTGGTCGGGGACGCCGAGACCCCGGAAGAGAACTAAGGGATCGGCTGGGGCATTGTTATGGCTCAGACCGATCCCTGAAAGCTTGACTAGCACATAACTTTTTGATTTTTTTTACCCTCTATCTTTTATACGTTGGTTTAGTTTAATATCTACAGCTGCTCGGCAGGTCTACGGGAAGTATCAAAATTGAAACAAAGGTGTATGTCATAAATCAATGAATATTTCATAATTGACTATAATCAAAACGGAGTTTCGTTTGATCAATTTGACTATCATTATATAATGACGCGATTGCCAATTGACGTAAGAAACACCATAAATTATACCGGGAAAGAATAAAGATGTACATTGTAATATAAATATTACTTATACATCTTTCAAATAACGTCTTTAATTGTGAGCATTCCAAACAATACAGTAATTCGCAATAGTATTAGAATGGTATATGATAGCACGATCAATGCGTCTCTATTAAATAAAAAAAAATATAATTTAGGCCCCTATGTGTGAAATATTCTTTGATTGACTATAAGCATTCCATACGAATGAGTTAATTCGCAAAATATAGCAACAACAAAAGAGAAAGGAAAAAGAGAAAATTCCTTTACCCTAAAATCTGGAAAAATAATTTGTTTTACAAAAGTCAAATGGGACACTTCATGTATTGATTTAACAGTTTGCAAGGGGTTAACTTACATTTTAGCAAAATTGGGAAAAATCAGATGTTTCTGGAAAATTGCAGCATGTAGGGTGTTAACTTTGCATTTTTTAGTAAAATTTAGATGTTTATGAAACATTTCAAATTGTAAGGGGTTAACCTTGCATTTTTAGCAAAATTGGGAAAAATCAGATTTGTATGAAAAATCTAAAATTATAAGAGGTTAACCTTTGCCCAATTAGGGCAACATCAGATGTTTCTGGAAAATTGCAGATTGAAAGAGGTTAACCTGGCATTTTTAGCAAAATTGGGCAATATCAGATTTTTATGAAAAATCTCAAATTGTAAGGGGTGAACCTTGCATGTTTAGCAAAACTGGGCAAAATCAGATGTTTCTGAAAAAAATTCAGATGTAAGGGGGTTAACCTTGCTTTTTTAGTAAAATCGGGCAAATTTTAATGTGCATGAAAAATTTCAAATTGTTAGGGGTAAACCTTTCATTTTTTAGCAAAATACGGCAAAACCAGGTGTTCATGAAAATTTCAGATTGTAAAGGGTTCACCTTGCATTTTTAGCAAAATTTGGAAAAATCTGATTTGTATGAAAAATCAAAAATTGTAAGGGGCTAACCTTTGCCAAATTAGGGCAAAATCAGATGTTTTTGGAAAATTGCAGATTGAAAGGGGTTAACCTTGCATATATTAGCAAAATTGGGCAAAAT